ACTTAACTCCGCCTGGAATTCTCTCTCCTCTCCTCCTCTCTCTCTCTCTCTCTCTCTCTCCTCTCTCTCTCTCCTCTCCCCCACTGTCAAGCAATACCAACCACTAGAGCCGAAGGGTCCGTCGAGTTTCTCCCGTAAAAGACATTTCTTGCCCCCGCGCCAAGGCTATGCTCATGGTGTAACTGTTGGTCCTGTAAATTATAAGGATTCGGTCCTAGACCTGCTCTATTTGAAAAGTGTCCCTGAGATAACTTCTGTTATGAATTTGGCGCTATAACAATAAAGATGAAATGGAACTTGAATAGAACGGCGTGGAAATGTGGTTCAATTCTAAGGTAACAACACAACGATTCTTATCTTCAGTGCATTATACACTAAGAAAACATACCTCGCAATATTTTATTCCCCATCCTGAACAATAGATCCCTAAATGTACACACTGGACCTTTAACTACACCTTTAAAATTTATATCAATCATAATAGACTTGTCCCCTTCTCCATGATGTTTAACGAAGACCATAAAGAGAATACAGTACAAAAGCCCTCCTGTGACACACACATGCACACAGATTACCCAGAGCACAAGACCCTAATATCAACCTGGAAAGATAAAATGAACCCTATAATCGGGCGTGACAGGAACAATATTCCAAACCTTAACCACCACACACACACACACACACACACACACACACCAACAGTCTGAATCTGTTACGCCACTTGACACAATCATTACCCTCTGATGCCCTGTCCAGAAATAAACAAAAAAAAAAAATAAGAAATGTCCCTGTAACAAAGCCTGTATGTGATGTTTATTAACGCAGCTTATTTTTTTTTTTTACACCACCAAACTGTAAATCGCTTTTAAAGGAAGCAGGGTTTCTCACTTATGATCACAAGTCAAACAGCTCAGCGCGTTAACCATGGGTTATATCTTGTGTAATTTGAAGTTTGTAAAAAATAAAATTACTTGAGAAGGTCTCCTCCTTTTACTCCTGCAAAAACGAGCAAAAAGTGAAGACAAACACGGCTGTCTTTTCAAACCTGCTGCTCAACATCATCTCCTACAGGCATTTATCCTTAAACATAACATCACATCACAATGGAACTGAAGAACCTGGAATTCACCTAGTACAGGTGTTCTGTGGGATAAATACATGTGCTCAACATGCAAATGATAATCCCACATTCTCTTGGGTAGTGCCTTTATATAACTAAAGTAACCAGAGAGTGGCTGCGGAATTTATTTTACCTGCTACAGAGCCCTGCCAGACATGGGCCAACACCCGGGTTCATTAGCCCAATTTTAACAACAAAGGAGACTTCTCCTCCCATCGAACACATTCGCCGCACCTCTCCCGCACACACACACACAAATCAGGTTAGACTGTCGGAGACAAAAATTAAAAAGCAACATAGAGCAAAACTAATGGTATAGGGATAACAGATTGCTCAACAACACAACCCGTAATTCACAGACCTTGTGGAGAGTTTCTGAGAACTATTTTCTTTCTACTACACCGCGCAGAGAGGAACTACCATGGGCAAAAAACATAATGGCGCCTCCTCGGCTAGCCTGTAACATTAGTAGCCACCTAGCAGAAAGAAAATAGTTCCACATGACTGCCAACAAGTCGGGATGTTTGAAACCAGTCATGATCTGGAAGGACATTGCTACTCTCAAGTTTTTTGCCCTTGACAAACCCAGGCGAGGCCGTCGGTTCCATTAATCGGAGAGAAGGCAAGACATCTCTACACCGATATCCCCAATCTCAGCAACTCCACCAAAACAAATAGAGATAAACAGCTCTACAGTAAAGAAAAATATGATTTTGATTTGGGGACCAATGAAATATCTTGAAATATAATAAACAAGGAAATGAAGAACCTAGAATATGGAATGCAATTATGCCCGATGACTACTGCTTGGTTTCCTCACTCACTGATAAAACAATTATCGCAATTGTAATGTGTAACATTTGCTCTCCTATCTCAATCACACTCTGTGTACACCTTGCCATAAGCAAAATGAAATATGTGCCGGAACAAAACATAGAAATTTGGGTCCATGGCCAGAAATCCAAACTAATCCATTGAGAACGGTCAACCCTCAAGAGAGGGGACAAACAAAACCACAAATCGAGCAAACTCAAGGCATTGACAGCAAGAACAGGCTGCCATCATCAGGAGAACAGAATTAACGAACATCCAGAATTCAAGAGTCCACGTCAACCCTAAATATGACTCTTTCATAAACTCTAATGTAATTCAATAAAAGCCTTTGGACACTTATAAAGTGTGAAATCTTCATATAACATGAATAACCACGATAAAAGATATAAAAACACTGAAGCAAGCAAACTTGGGTCATTCTCAAAATGTGACCGAGACTGACACTACTGGAAATAGTAGGCTTTTGTGTCATTCAGACATACGACTTTACAATAAATGTCCGAGACGTTATTAAAAACAATACAATCCCCATTGATTACCGACACGTTAACTTTTCATTTACTACAGTCCGTCGAAATGTCTGAAATAGGAGGAAACATAGAGCTTAGAGCATGAATGGGAAATCTGGCAATACAATTGTTTAAAATAAACATTGCCAATACCAGTTTTGCATTATTGGAAGAAAACAAAAAATCTACATTCCAGTCCATACAAGTGAAAACCAACAACACTAAACAATGAAAAAGACAAAAAAGATAAACATCTTTATCCAATAATAACGGTCACTCAAAACAATATCTTCAACACTCATAAGAGGTCTTGAATTTTTCACTGTGTTTGGCATCAGGCTCGCTTTTGATGCAGCATATTGCTGCCACTGCTGCTGTTTACAGATTCTTCACACTTAGACATGTGCAGTCAGAAAGTTTTTAAATGATGCAGATATGACTTTACAGAGGGGTCAACAGATTCGTTTTGTTGATAAGTGGATGCATAGGGCCTCTTTAACACACATGGATTCAAAGTAGGAGGCTCTTTTGTGCCTCTCATGAGTCTGAAGCTCGCAAGTGTGTTTGTGTTGAGTGTGTACATAATTTACATACTCAGCTCCAGTTGGACAGTTGTCTTCTTTACAGTGCCACTACACCATTTTTCATGTGTTTTTTTCTTCATCGATATCTCCCGACCCAAGAGTACGTTAATGTTATACTATATCTGACAGAATTGGTTACCGTAGCAATCTGACTTTTTCTCAGACGTATTGAAATGAGTGTAGTAGAAAATAACTGCTTTTGGTTCACTGGGGTATAAAAATGAGTGATTGGTTGTCACCAGGTCGCTGCTAAGTGTGTCAAGAGTACGTGGGCATGAAGTTAAACCAGTTAAATGCTCAATGACTAGCATAGCATCTCCAGTGTTTGTGACCAGACAGTATGTGTAAATGGGGCATCACTGTGAGAGTTCTCCAGTCTGAAATGCAGGTTTTCCGTGAAAAATTGTCTAAGCCCACCCTGACGACATCATCAAGGTTATTTTCTCAGGCTTTACAAAGCTCTTCCAAGACAGCTGTTTTCATACACACTGAGTACCGGAGTACTCCACATGACTAATAAATCGACTTGGCATGTGAAAACAGTGAAGTGCCCCTTTAAGGCCAAAAACTACAACTGTTGTGATAAAATACCATCATTTGTGGCTATTAGTCATGTGAAGGTGGCAGCAGTAGTAGTTGAATGCTCTTATTTATCACTTTCTTATTTTTATATTCACTCTCAGGGAGTCAGTTAAAATTAGACCCAAATCACATTCATTCGTGTTCCTACAGAGCACTTTGTCAAAAATATGCCAAAATACAAAAATTTAGTTTTTTCGTTGTTTACTTCTAATTCATGTTTTTTTTTTACAAGCAATTTTCAGTTGAAAAGAGTCTGATTTTGCCAGCTGTTATTCCATTCCCATATCTGATTACAGACAGCATAAAACAATAAAGGAAAATGAATTTGGCTCATTGGAAACTGCTCATGCCCTGCATATATGAAAACCTAAAACTTTTGCAAAATCAAAGAGAAAACCTCTGTATTGTATTCCATTCTTTGGTGTCATTTCCTGTATGTATTTGCTATTGCCGACACAAATCTTAGACCTGCCCTGCTACTGATTGGTCTCATTTTAGTAAAGGATTGGATGGTTGGAGATTTGTACCTGACCACGTTGACAGTTATTAAATACTATTCAGTGCGGGGCAGATGAAATATTAAAAGATACATCAGAGCGACTAAACCGTGTGAGATGTGTCCGTCCTTCCATTCAGTGAGGCGCTGTCTGTGTATGTTGACTGATGAAGTTAGATTGAAATGTAATTGACAGGGCAGCTTTTA